CTTTGTTTACTTGGGCAAGGGGTCTTCACTCCAGGGTTGAAATGAGGCTAGATAGAACTTTGTGCAATTCTCTTTGGTTGGATAATTGGGATGATAATTTTTGCATTTCTTTGCCTGAGCTTTGTTCTGATCATCATCCTCTTCTTTTCACTGCTACTAAGTCAGCTGCATCGGGTCCAAGGCCTTTCCGATTTATTAATTCTTGGGTTTCTCACCCAAGTTTTAAGCAGTTTGTGGGTGATACTTGGAATTCATGTTCTTTTACTGGTTGTCCCTTTGTTATTCTTAAACAGTGCTTAAAATTGGTCTCAAATCATGGAACAAAAACGTCTTTGATACTGTTGATGAGCGAGTTAGGCTGTCTTATCAATCTCTTTCCTCTGTTCAACATGATATTGACATGATGGGGCCCTTGGATCATTTGTTAGAGAAAGAATCTGATGCGAAAAAAGAGGTGTTTGATGCTTAGATCTATTGGTGTTCAAGGTTTATATAGAAAAGCCCCTTCAATTATTCCAGTAAAGTGGTATCCCCCTCCTACTGGTTGGCTTAAATTGAACACGGATAGTTTAGCCAAAGGAAATCCTGGGCCGGCTGTTGCTGCTGATATTTATAGAACTAGTAGGGGTTTTGTTAAGGGAATTTTTAGTGATTTTTTGGGAGTGCAAACTGCTTTCTATGCTGAATTGGTCGCAGTTATTATTGGTATTGAACATGCTTGGCAGAAGGGTTGGAGATACCTCTGGTTGGAGTCTGACTCTCGCTCTGTTATTCAATGTTTGGCTAATCCATCTTATGACCCACCCTGGTCCGTTAAAATTCGCCGGCTAAATTGCAGGTATTATTGCAGCATATGAACTTCCACTTTAGTCATATCTTTTAAGAAGTAAATGTTGTAGCCGATAAATGCGCAAATATTGGTTTATCCTTTTCAGGTTTTCAATGGTGGTGGGCTACACCTACAGTGCTTGCTACTCAACTCTGTAATGACATGTATAGCCTCCCTTCGTATAGGTTTAAACCATAGGGTGGTTTTGAGTCCGCTGTGAGCTAGATTGTGGCATTTTATAAGCTACCAGGACCAGACTTTTCTTTATTTTTCCACTTCTTCCATGTATTCTCTTTTTCTCTCATTAATAATATTCAAGCGTATAGCACATGATTCGGGATTTCCTGGGGTGCCAACCTAGTTGGGATGCTAGATAATCCTATGATGCTTGAAGCTCTATTTTATTAAAAAAAAATATATATAGTCACAGAAGTACCAAGAGTACCTTAATAGTTACATCCATAACACTCCACCACAAGTTGGTGCATAAATGTCTCACATGCCCAACTTGCAAATGATAGGAAGATATAGCTTGCTACTATGCCCTTTTGTGAAAACATCGGCCAACAGATCTTCTAATTTCACAAATGGCATGCAAATTAAACTCTTGTTCACCTTCTCTCTCATGAACTGTCAATCAATCTCAACATGTTTATTCTATTTTGATTGTATACAATATTGATAGTTGTCTTATTATCACAGTATAACCCATCGCAACGAATTTTGAGCTCACTAAATAGAATTTAGAGCCACATAAGCTCACAAATTCCATGGGTCATTCCTCTGTATTCAACCTCTGCACTAGACGCTTGTTTTTTACTTTGTCACGTGGCAATGTTTCCTCCTATCAAAGTGCAGTAGCTTGAAGTGAATCTTCTGTCATCTACTGAACCTGTTCAATCTACATCAGTGAATGCTTCTAATTTTAAGTTACCAATATTAGACAACAAAATCTCTTTTCTTAGAGCTGACTAGAGATATCTTAAAATACGATGAACTACTTCAAGATGAGGTACTCGAGGATCATGTATGAATTGACTTCCAATCTCCACTGCATAAGCAATATCTAGCCAAATATGAGAAAGATATATCAATCTCCCCACTAATCTCTGGTATATCTCCTTATCCACAACATTACTAACACCACTCACTAGCCAATAGTTAGCTTCAATTGAATAATATGTAGGTCTACATCCCAACATACAAGTTTCTTCAAGTAGGTCAAGAACCTTTATCTTTGTGTGGGAGACAAAAATGCCTTTTTTTTATCTAGTAAGTTCAATCCCAAGTTCAATTTGATGATTTCTTGCATATCATTCCAAATCATAACTATGTCATTTATATATACAATGAGGACTGTTAATTTGTCATCTACCTGCATGAAGAAGATATTATACTCAGCATGATTTTGATTATATCCAAATTTCAACGTGGCTTTGAAAAACCTATCAAATTAGGCTCTAAGTGATTGCTTCAACCCACAAAGTAACTTCTTCAACTTACACATCTTTCCTTTAATTACTTAACATGAGAAACTAGGTGGAATCTCTATATCAATGATATCAGAACCGGACCGGTCATCAAACCGGTAAGGGGACAGGATCAATAGTCTATTGGTTCAACCGTTGAGTCAAATGGTCGAACCCTGTCATATAATAAAAATATATAAAAATAATAATTTAGGAAAAAAAATATATAAATATGTCTATAATGCATACAATTAACCATAAAATTAATGAAGCCAAATATCAAATCAATATTCATAAAATTCACAATGTCAATCTTAATCTCAATATTCAAAAAATTCACAATCCTAAACTCAATAAAATTCACAATCTTAATCTCAATCGTAATCACTTAAATATCACAATCTCCGATGAAAATTACTACAAATCTTTGTAATCTAAAAACCTCGAAACATGACATATATAGAGAATATGTATATTGTATATGACTTAATGTCGTCACTTGGACTGAGTTGAAGACAGAGAAAGAGTGCCCACGAGAGAGAGAGAGAGAGTGGGCTTACTATTTGTTGCCTGAAATGGAGAAGAAGATCAAAGTCTGAGGACCTTCGTTGCTTATTCGTCACCTAGAGAAGGAAGATGAAGATTGGAACTGGACTCTTGAGTCTTGGAAGATGAAGAAGAGAGTTTGAGTTGAAGCAGACTAGCAAAGAAATGCTCGTCGCTGAAGCAAAGATCAAGTTGAAGACAAAGACAAACCAGATGAGTCCTATACTCTTGTTCGTTAAAGCAAATGAGTCGTCCTGTTCCATGAAGTAAATGAGAAAGATGAAGACCTTTAGTCTAGGACAATGGGAGTGGAGACTCAAATGAAGGAAGAATGAAAATAGTAAATGAAGAAATGGGATCCAGGGCAAAAATGCCCAAAACATGTTTTTTTTAACAATTGCAATCTAATCGTCTGGTTCACCAACTTTAGCAAAAACCAGCCGATTTAATAGTTAACAGCCGATTCACTTACATATGTGGTCCAATTCAAAAACTGGACCAGTCTAAGTCCCGGTTCACGGTCCAACCGATGGACCCGGCCGGTCCGGTTCGATTCTAATAACACTATTTCATATATACATCTTCCTCTAACTCTCTATGGAGAAAGGCATTCTTCACATCCAACTGTTACAAACTTCATTCAAAATTAAAGGGCACGTATGGAGTTCATCTTTGTTACAGATGCAAAAGTCCTTTTATAATAAATGCCATATATTTGAATGAATCCCTTAACAACCAATCTTGCTTATATCTCTTAACTAAACTATCAGCTTGTTGTTTAACAATAAATACTCATTTACACCCAATTGTTCTTGCTCTGAGAGGAAGTGGAACTAATTCTCATGTGTTATTCTTCTTTAGGGCTCTCATTTCCCCTACCATAGCTTCTCGCCACTTTAAAACAGTGAGAGCTTCCTTCCAACCCAGAGGAATAGATATAGAAGACAAGCAAAAAACAAAGGTACGATAAGATGGAGACAAAGAATCATAAGAAACAAAGTTAGATATGGGGTTTTGAGTACAAACTCAAATACCTTTTATAACTACAATAGGAAGTTCAAAATCATCAACAGTTAGATTGTCAATAAACTGGGTGACAACTAGAAGCTCATTACATAGTAAACTAGTAGGAGATGCTTGAACTAGAGTGAAGGAATTCAACTAACCTAGCGGCACATGGGTGGTCTATACCTTCTGACGTCAAGAATAGGTCTTCAAAATACCGGGTGGGTCATTGGTACTAGCAATCTGTTTCTCTCCCCTATTAGTATCCGACATTAGTATCCCACTAGAAAGGCAATTGAAGAAAAAGCTCCAAACATACGACCTCTACCTCAATAGTAGTGTTCTTCCCCCGATAAGATGGTTGGGGTGGAGAGACAAATGATTCAAACTCACGAAACGTAATTTCCATGCTAACATATACCTTCTAAGATGGTGGGAACACTTATACCTCTTTTGAGTAGGATAATAACCCCGGGAAAGACACACCGAAGAGCCTTGGGATCAAGTTTTCCCTTTAATGTTATGTGGTCATGTACAAAATAAAAACACCTAAAAACTTTAGGAGGAAGAGAAGAGAGACAGAATCGGTGAAATCCAAGAAAGACACTCAGTAGGGGACTTAAACTACACGACACTCAAAAATGCAGAGGAACATTCATAATAAACATCAGTGAAAGAACAATCTCAAGAAGATGATGATTTTTTCGCTCAATAACACCATTTTGTTCTTGGATACCACACAACTAGTTTGATAAATAATACCATTTTGATTGAGGTAAGAGTGAAATTCCCCATCAATGTACTCAATTCCATTGTCGCTGCAAAAGACTTCGATTTTAGCCTCAAACTGGATACCAACTACTTTACCAAAAAAAAAACGGAAGAGAAAACTTCACTTTCAATGCGTAAACTCAAGTAAGACGACAATAACAATCAATAAAAGTGACAAACCAATGATAACTTAAGATAGAGGCAACACAGGAAGGGCCCCACACATCAGAGTGAATTACAACAAGGTGGAAGAAGGTTTATAGACCATATTAATGCAATAACTATGATCAAAAGGTGAATTATAAGAATGATACATGACCTATGTAAACTTATTATTCATGGAGTACTATAGCAGTACTGTTCGATGTAAACACTACTTTGAGATGAGCTCAAGCACCATAATAATCGCTTCGCGTGTTTTGATTGCAGGCTTGCAGCCCTACCACGAGACTTATTTACCTATAAAGAAAACCACAAGAATCACATCATTGGGATGTGCTTTCAAATGGATACTTTAATCAGCTAACTCAAAATAAGATTTTTGTGGCTAAAAATAAAGGATTGACTTTGAAAGTATAAATAAATATTAAAGCAGAGAAACTTTACTGTCTCATAAAGGATTTACCAACCATAGATTGTAATCTTTCTAAAATATGCCTAATTATTCTCCGTAGTATAACTTACACAATATCTGTATAGATATATAGAACTTCAACTTCAGTATATGATATCCATCCTCAATGCACTATAGACAAAAGACTTGTCAAGACTACATGGCATTAATTATACAAGTTCCTTTTCAAGTGATTGGTTAATCTAGGGCCTATCAGTCTGATATGTTGAAGCATTTAACCTTCTTACAATCACAATTCAAGGTCAGAAGGTGCACCTTGTTGTGAGATCTATCAACTGCAACAACCTCTCCATTGTCCTTCATAAGGATTGCAATCGCAGTAGTTTTTCCCCCTGGAGCTGCACACATATCCAATACTCTCTCTCCCTCTTGAGGATCTAAGTCATAGAACGAAAACAAAAGCAATAACATGTGATGCATGAAGAAAGCAAAATTCATCAGAAGCAATTGTCTTAGCAAAAACGTAACAATTTTTCATTTGTCTTAATCCTTTTTTTTTTTTTGGGTACATCTTTTTTCTTAATCGTTATTATACTATAACAACCCATGTAAGTAAATTGATTTTTATTGTATGCAAGTATATAAGACATATGTTGACAAACAATCCTGTCCATGTACCAGAAAGAAACAGGATATGGGCCTTATTTTTATTTTGGAGACAATTAGAGAAACTATGCAACAATTTTGATACCTAAACAAAGGCTATCTATATAATAAAGTACCAAAGATTTCAAATCTCCCAAGATATAAAAAATGACTTGTTTATTGCAGTTTGGATAATTTTAAAATTAATTGGAAACAATCCAATGGCTAAAAAACACTCTTCAATTTTTAACTTCCTGCCCAAAACTTTCCATTACAGATCTACTTCATCTGATCAAGCGTTTTTCCTTATTTACGTCCTCTCACGCCCTTCTCTCTCCTCCCTCCCCCACGGAGGAGCTAATTTCACTCCACAACACTCTCTCTCTCTCTTTCCAACACAGTAGCCCTAGCCACCAACCCTCAAGGTCTCTCTCTGTGTATACCCACCCCACGTCTGCTTAACCCCAACCCACCGAGGTTAACTTGTGTCAATTTCTTGCGATTAAGGGAATTTAAGGGAAGGGGAATTGAGGGTTGTATCCAAAGAAGCCGAACAGATTCCTTGGGAAAAAATTTACTTCCAAATGATCAGTTCTTCTCTCTACCTGTCACTAAACACATGCAATGACCACTGTGAATGTACAGATTTCTAGGTAGTTTGATTTTGCTCACAAGATTCTTGAGAAAATGACTAAGAAAAGATTTATTTATCATCATCATCTTTAGTATCTTTTTTATTATGAGTAAATATTTACTAAATCGTGTTCAATTTCAACCATTCATAAAGTGGCAGTTGTTCTCTGTTTTGATTCTATTAAGTAGTTTTTACTTTTAGACCGTAGATATTTATGTAATGGCCAATGCTTCTCTTTATAGTCATTCTATTATTAAGTTGTTCTTACTCTTGGTTAGTAGATTTTATATTTATTTTATGGTCAATGTGAATGTACAGTTGGTTTCATAGGAAACTATTCCCAAAATGGGTATGGAGTAACTTCAACTAGAAAATAACGTTTTAGAGGAAGTGAATTAAAGATTCATTGCCTTTTCATATGGAATACGTTTTTTTGATGAATGATGGATCAATTGAAATTCTTAAGAATGATTTTCAGGGAAAAATATTCTGGAAGTCGACACCAGGAAAGCTAATTGGTCAACACAAAACCAACTCTAAGTCTCATATATGATATATCAAAATTCACATATTTCCTTTATGACCTTTTAATATTTATGCTCCTAAGACATCCAATTGTCTGCAATTGGAATTGCATTTTGGGGTTTTTTCGCATAGCATAAATTGGTCATGGGAATTATTTTTTCGTACTTGGGTTGAATCCTTGGGTTGCTTTCTATGCTTTTGTAGATAGCCATTGTCATGAAACAATACTGGTGAGATGCAAGAGAATCTATGTTCTATGATCTCTATTTTAGTTTACATCGCAGAGACTTCTAATCATGTTATCTTTTTTTTTTCCTACAATGTTCTAATCAGATGTAGATACTACCAAACCTGGATTTTGATACACTATAGTTTGCTTTCATAAATTTTATTGTGATAAATGGTGTCTTGAATCATATTATTTGGTAGTTGTGCTGCAATGATTTTGATATTGTTCAAGGATCATGGTTTGAGCGGTAACTATGGCCATTTAAAAAAATTAGTGGGTCCATTTTCCCAGGGCCATACAAACTATACATTTTCAAAACCTACACTGTAAAGTCAAATTCAACTGTTACTTTTTGTTTTTGTTTCAAATGATTTCACTCAATAGCATCATAAGTTTCATTTAATTGATCATCTCAATAGTTAAAGGACTTGATATATCACTACAGGATTATAAACTCAACTCAACTAACAAAATTCTGCCCCAACATTTTTGGGATTGGCAACATAAATCTTGTTGCACCATTGTGTTCTTTTGGCCCTACAATAAACCATGAGCTATCATATTTTTTTTTACTATTTCATTTGAAGTTAATTTTGGTCTCTCTGCCTCTTCGATTACCATTAATGGTCATCATACCACTCTATCTCACTAGTGCAATAGATGACCATCTATAACTATATTCAACCCACCAAAGTCGGTTCTCTCTTAATTTATCTTTATATGTGCTACATCTACTTTTTGACGGACACTCTTATTGTTAATTCTATCATTTCTAATTTTACCACACATCCATCATCACATTCTCATTTTCGCCACACTCAACTTCAGGAATATAAAAGAACAAAAAATTTAGCACTACAATCAAGAAAGTTTTATAACAAAGAATTACATGAGCAACAATATGTACAGGGAGTGGGAGAGAGAGAGCAACAATTCATATCAATCACTTTGATCAACTACCATGCAATGAAAAATACCTAAGGCGTGTGCAGTGATAATGCTTGGCAGGTTTTGAAGAAAGATTTCCCCTTCAAGCAAATCTGGAAACAAAATGATTAAAGATCAATAATTGATGGTTAATAAGAGAACATGGAACCAAAATTACAATAGCATAACTATGAACCGAAGTCTAGAGTATGGACCCAAACAACCCCATGGAAGCCCACAGAGGACATAATGCCCCCAAACCGCAACAGCACAATACAAGTTTGATGGATTTCTTTTGATGGCAATTTTCATTTGTCCTCAAATTGAAAAAGATTTCCCATCCTTCCCACCATTTTAATTTTTATTTCATACTTTCTTATAATTTGTCTCCTTTTACTCAAAAGAATAAGGAAGAAATAATGAAATAAAAGGAACCCAAAACTCACAAGAATACTAAAAACCTAGTTTGAGCCTTTATAAGAGGTTTTTTCATATTCAAGACACCAAGAGAAATACGAGGTCATACAAATATAATGAAAAGTTAAGAAGCAAGGTTACCCCTATGACTGAGGTATTTGTATACAGTGACACCCTAATTTCTGGGGGTCCTAATTATCCGTTATGGCTTGTTCATTAACCCAAGGCCATGGTAATCCTAACGGAATTTCGACGGAGTCTCCTTTGATTACGATAGACCTTGGAAGGTCAATAGGAATTATTGTTGCGATAGGTTGTGTTACGGATGCACATTGGATACACAAGGATACGTAAAGATGATTAGTACAACATTTTAATGGACACGTCAAGGTACAAGATGGATACACTCAGATACAAATATGGCGCATCAGGAAAAAAACTAAGAAACCTCCCTTTCATACTTTAATTCTAGTCCAATTGTTCAGTCAAGGGAAAATGAAACACGCAGAGGGACTTCCACCTTTCTAGGCTTCACAATAACTCCCCTTATATAGAATGAAAAATGAGTCTCGACACAAGATGCTCATCTCCTTCTTCTATAACCTGTTCAACATAGTCCTTGAGGTCGGGTCAAATGCATCTTGAAGAAGTCTCCTCCAGCAACCGTGCCTGAACTCTGCACTCCCTTGGTCATAGCATCCTTGCTTGAAATAGTTCCTCTTCAAAAGAGAAGACCTCATTGAAGACAAGAGTAAGGTACAAGAAGGCCATTTCTGTCCACCGCCCTTCTCACGGAGCCATACATGGATGTTACTGCTCATACATCTCCCAACCAACAAGTAATTAGCCTTCCTCTACAAGGAATGAAAGTGTGGATGAATTGACATCAAATAGAGGAATCTGGCCTGAGCCTTTATAAGAGTTTTTTGATATTCAAGACATCAAGAGAAATCCATTGTTATAGACATAGAATGAAAAGCTATGAAGCAAGGATACCCCTNTAAGGTACAAGAAGGCCATTTCTGTCCACCGCCCTTCTCACGGAGCCATACATGGATGTTACTGCTCATACATCTCCCAACCAACAAGTAATTAGCCTTCCTCTACAAGGAATGAAAGTGTGGATGAATTGACATCAAATAGAGGAATCTGGCTTGAGCCTTTATAAGAGTTTTTTGAAATTCAAGACATCAAGAGAAATCCATTGTTATAGACATAGAATGAAAAGCTATGAAGCAAGGATACCCCAATTGGTACCGAATATGGATACACAAGGATACGCATAAGATGATTAATATAACATTTTAACTAATAATTTCAGATACGTCGAGATACAAGATGGATACGCTAGGATACAAAAAATGGATATGGCGCATCGAAAGAAAAATAAGAAACCTACCTTCCATACTTGAATTCTAGCCTAATTGTTCGGTCAATGAAAAACAAGACGAGAGCAAATCATTTTCCTATGAACATACCGCATTTATTCTACTAAAACTTCAATCGAAAATAAATGAACATACCGGACTAAACCAAGAAACTTGGATCAAATCATACGTATTAATATTTCTTGAGCAAGATGCATCTTAGTAGGCACATTAGCTTGATTCTTTTATCAAAGGCAAGGAAGACAAAGACACCAAATCAAGTAAAGATAACGAAGTTTTGCGGTCTCCTATCAATGAAATTTCTCAAGAAACTAAAATTCCACGTAATACGAGGAGGAGAATAAGAAAACAAACATCCAAAGGATGAACTATGGGCCTGAAACAAATGATGACGTCACGGAAACAATGATTTAAATTTTAAAAGATGACAGTCCTCCCCAGTTATCTTCCGATAGCGAATTTTTACCATTCCCCACACTCAAACCAAGATGTTCGGAAAAACGAGGGCGGAGCCCGAAATTATTCATACTAGGGGCAACCTAGAAGTATTTCAATATTGTTTTTCTTTTAGAAAACTTACCCATAATTAATTCAAAATCATTATGTTTGGTTTGACTTAAACTCCATAATTTTCTTCTTTTTTGAACATAAACTCAATAACTTATTATTGATTTTTTGACAAACAACTTATTAGGACTAGAAGTATTCATTTAATAGACAAACTTGATAGAAATAATTTAGAGAAAAATCTATTTGTCATAACTTTATTAAAACTTAGATATTANACTTGATAGAAATAATTTAGAGAAAAATCTATTTGTCATAACTTTATTAAAACTTAGTTTTTTAAATACTTTGATTGATCACAAATAAATTGTTAAAGTCCAATTGTTTGAATAATTTAATTAAAAATATAATTCATAATAGACAAATTCAAATATATAGTACAATTAAATTAAAAATTATTTAAAATAATTTAAATCTTAATTTATAATTCTTGCATTCTAATTTCAATTTCTAATATTATGATTTCTAAGTTCAAACACCAATTTATTACGATTTCAAATTCAAGATTCAATTTTAATTCACATTAACAAAAATAATAGAGGAGAGGATACAAAAAATGCTAAAAAAATAGAGCACTGACCAAGAAAGTCAAATTAAAGAGAATAATCAATTAAGAATCATTAAAACTCATTACAACAACTGACCAAGCATAGTATTGTTGGTTACTACTAATTCTATTAACTAGTAGGTGGATGACCGTTGCTAAAAGGTCACGATTGATTTCTTATAAGGTGCTTGCTCATTTATTATTGATGTGTGATTCAAAATATAAAATAGCTAATTATTTATGTTGTAATAGTGATTTATTGATGTTTATTAAAAAACCTTATCGAGACAATTTTAATTTAAGCCGTATAAGGAAAGTGAAAGTCTAATTTTTCTTTTTTATGAAAGAATACTACTTATCTAAAATATAAACTAGCAATAANTATGTTGTAATAGTGATTTATTGATGTTTATTAAAAAACCTTATCGAGACAATTTTAATTTAAGCCGTATAAGGAAAGTGGAAGTCTAATTTTTCTTTTTTATGAAAGAATACTACTTATCTAAAATATAAACTAGCAATATTACTATATGCATTTAATTTAGAAACTTAATTTGAAAATCGAAGGATTGTTGTCATTGAATTAGCACGTACGAAATCCCGTTAAATATTAGGATCCATAAATAATCGAATGATAACAATAATTTAACTTCTCAAATTAGATCTCAATAGTGTTGCTCTGACAAACTTAATTTTTTTATAAAATTTTTAGCGGGGGCAAATTTCAANATTTAACTTCTCAAATTAGATCTCAATAGTGTTGCTCTGACAAACTTAATTTTTTTATAAAAATTTTAGTGGGGGCAAATTTCAATTTTTTTTTTTTTTTAAATTCTGAAATTTCAAATAATACCCAAAACTTTTCACAATTCCAGTGGGTGCAATTGCCCCCATACTGAATTCGCCATTAAGAAAAATAGGAGGAAAGAAAAGATTGTTAGCATAGAGCAGTGTGTAAAGTTATACAACACAAATCCAAATAACACATAATATCCAAATAAACATTCATNTTTTTTTTTTTTTTAAATTCTGAAATTTCAAATAATACCCAAAACTTTTCACAATTCTAGTGGGTGCAATTGCCCCCATACTGAATTCGCCATTAAGAAAAATAGGAGAAAAGAAAAGATTGTTAGCATAGAGCAGTGTGTAAAGTTATACAGCACAAATCCAAATAACACATAATATCCAAATAAACATTCATAGATTTGTCAACCCTAATTAGAGAGTTTAAAGAACTACTCACAATTCATGGCTAGGTTTCACTAGAATTGTTATGAAAAAAAAATTAGAAAATAGGGAAAAACAATTTTTCCCCTTCTAACAAGAAGAGGTATTTATACTTGCAATCATTAAAACCTAATAGGACTCATATGTCGCTAATCCACACCGGCTGCAAAATAACACGTGCCCGAACAACCGAAGATGAAACACAAATCGCACCTTGGAACATTGAAAATACAAAAACATTCAAAAATTTGAAAGACCAATCAAATGGTTTTTAAAAATTCCAAAAAATTAATCATAATACTCAGAAGGGGCAATCGAAAATGTTCCTCCCTTTTTCAAAAAATTCTAACATTCTCCTCGATGCTGACATTAAAATGTCAAATGCTAATGCCAACACTTCAGAAGTTGACAACAATCACCATTGACTCCTAGGGCTGAATTTCGACGAGCTTTGACAACTTTGAAACGCTCGATTTGGATAGCAGTTCTGATAACAAGTTGTGAAGTCATTAAGATTTGGAGATAAAGAGATGAAGAATAGGATAAAGGAAAAGATTATCAGAGCATTGTGTTATGTTACACAACTACCCAATTTAGATATATAGACACAAAGTAATAAAATACCCTTGAGCTAGAAATAACACATAACGTAATAATACCTGAGAGATAAAGTTCCAATTACACTGAAAAGAATCCTTAACCACCACATTAGAGTCTCTTCTATTAGATTGAAGTGCATATTTACTCTAATAATAGAACGCCACAAAGGGTCCTTTTCTTCCCGAAAACCTCAAGAACCACTTCCCAACAAAAATATATTCCGCTTGACCAAATTCCGGAATATCAAACTTATTCACTTTAGACTGGATGCTAAATCCCAAATAACCAAGTGGTTTTTGTGCCTTCGTCGATGCCTTCCCCTCAAAAATATCATCTTCTCACCATTTGTGCTACTTTTTCAACGATTTTAAAGAATGATTAAAAATAAATAGAAATATTAAGTAAGACAGTGCTCTAAAGTAAACCTGATATGAGATAGAACAGGAAGAATAAGATAATAGAAAAAACGAAGAAAAGATACCAAACCCTCGCAAGGATTACGTGAAGAAATATACAAAATTTTCACTGAGAAAATACTTCTATTAAAATCAATCTCTCCAATAAAAATAATGGGGATTATATCGATATTTATTGGCCAAGTCCCTTACCAAAATAAAAACTACCATCCTACTAAAATTCTAAAAGAGTTGTGTAATCAAACTCTTAAACTCCTTTACAACTAAAACACTATAATAATCCCCTAATCAAACTCTCACTAGTACTCCTAGTCAAATAAATAATCATAATAAAACTAATCTTAATAAACGATCAATCCCTTTGGACCAAAAACTCCTAACCTTTCACATAGGCTTCCAAAATCAATTGTATTGGTCCAACCAACCAATGACTACACCATCAATTATTCCCCGCTAAAAACACCCAACTCCAGCGAGTAAAACAAAGGGCCAAGACTACCACTCTCTAAATCAATAAAGAACTCTTTTTCAGTTGCATTGCATGCGCATCTATAGCACAAGTAAGAGTGTACTTTTTCCTTCCAATAACATAAGAATAAGCATTGGCATGACTAGCATGTTGCGCATCTCGAACTCATATCCAAGTGCGCCCAAAAAGTATATGACAAAGCTTGAGATGCAACACATCACACATGACGGTCTCCTGAAGGCTTCCAATGGTGAATGTAACTAGACATCTCTTATCAACTTTCAGTGTGATATTAGTAATCGATGTTACATGATATGGTTCCGAATGTGGTTTAACTTTCAAATTCAATTTCTTCACACCCTCTTCCGATGCCACATTTGTGCAACTGCCAATATCAATCACAAAAGAACATAAATATCCTTCACAATTAACTCTTGTCTAAAAGATTTTTCTTCGATGAATAAACTAACAATTAGGAACCTCTCTATTAGCAATAAGGAAAGGACAGATAACACCCACATGATGATCATCATCAAATTAACTTCACAACGGTCAACTGTTTTAAATTCTGGCTCATCAGAATCATTATTACCTTGGGATTTTCATTTTCAACTATAGCAATAAATTTTGTAGGGCATTGAAAAGGCAGATGGCCAAAACTATAACAATTAAAAAATCTTGCCTTAGAATTAATACTCCCTTGAGATGAAGAATTAGCCCTAACCCAAGAGAGTTTCTTTGGAGAAAAAGTATTCTCTTGGAGTTTATTAATGAACTTACCTATACTTACATCTACCATAGTTCTCTTGATTCGGGTTTTAGGCACCAAAGAAAATCACATAGAAGCTATCTTTTTCAACTCATCTTCCATCTGATAGGCAACATAAACGGCATTTGTCATGGTGTAAAGACGACTTACAGATAAGCCCGATGAAATCTGGGATTTAAGTCCTTGCCTATACAAGACAATCATTAGATCCTCAATCCATGGAAACTTTGGTATCATGGCCAAGCTGTAGAATTTTTCTATATACTCCTCAACAGACATACTTCACTAATTTAACAGTGTCAACTATAGGTGAAATCGTTGCTTATAATTAGCAGGCACAAAGTAACGAGTCATAGTTGTTTTCATGTCATCCTATGATCTATCAAAGTGAGTTTGTTGCTACTTCATCCACTGAAGTCT